GCTTCATCTAAACGATAGCGACTTCCTTTAGCTGCAGATTCACTTATTTCAAATTTGATGGTATCCTTCTTAAACTGCGGTGAATTATCGTTGATGTCTTGAATGTGGAAGCTAATGCGATGCAGCTCTAAAGGCTCCTCCAAAACAAGCTCTTGTTTTAAAATGCAAGTAGATTTTTTGCCACAAAGACCCTCTCTGTCAATCCTCTCGGTAACAATCACATCTCCAGTACTCCTATTAATATCAAAATACCCTTTGCTGTTCCTGTCAACATCAATACGAGCCTTTCGAGTAGCCAGTTTTCCCACCTCAATTCCTATATCTTTTGCGATATTTTCTATAACAGAGCCTCGTTTAACTTCTTCCGGAAAAGAATAAGCAACATCTCCACAAACCGTTTGCAGCGCCAGAAGAAATACTCCCGAGAACACGAGCCAGAACCCCGGAGATGCTTTGTTTTCCATTTTCCTTTTAAATCGATAAGGAATCCGCCAAGGGCAAGCCTTTTGGAGTAAAAATGAGCAGTCACCGGAATCCTCTTCGGACTATGTATGCAATTCCAACTAGAAACGTTGCTACCTCGCTGCTTTTGTCTGTGAAAAATCGGTCAAGATCTAGAAACGTTTACACTGTGCAGAATAACAAATATGACCCTACTATGTATGTTGGTGGACAGCGACGCTATGAGAGAAATATTAGTATTGCAAACGCATTAAATCATGAGAGTCCTCTCAGGATAAAGAAGAAACGTATCCCGACCTACAAACACATTTATTTTTATTTTATTTTATTTTATTTTATTTTATTTTATTTTATTTTATTTTATTTTATTTTATTTTATTTTATTTTATTTTATGAGCACATAACCTTCAGACAGGAGATTTCTGCTGTACATACTAATGTTGGCATGTTTGGAAAGCACGTAGTTAAAACAAAAGAGGAGAAGGTTAATCTCCTCTTTTGTGTATCACCAACATGGACAGATACACATCAATGCCTGCGTGGCAGCAGGGCCATGCTTGAAGAAACTGTCATACGAAGTTGAATACTGACAAATTAACGTAATGATAAAAAAATGAAAATAAAACAAAAATAGCGGTCTTATTTGCGACTATGATGAAATCAGAATGATAAAAAACAACAGCAGTAGCATCCCAAATGCTCATTGGGAGATAATATGGGCATTGGTGACAGCACTGAAGAATTACACGAGGGAGGGGAATATAACGGTTCAACCAAAATCAAAAACAAACAAAAATTTAACTGTTCACTTTAAAAGGCCTACATCAATACGCTGACTGCAATTTATTTGGACTAAAGCTGTATATATTCAGCTATAGATGAATTTGATGTCAATCGAATCTCATACTTCTTAAGTGATTAGAAAGAAATTCAAATATACACTATATTTACTGCTAGATTTAAGTGACAACTCAACAAGAAATGTGGCATTCAAACACAGTACTGATAAGAAAAAAAAGAGCTTGAATGAGCAGATATAAGGTGTCTTTAATTATTCTAAACCAAAAAGCCACAAGAGAAACTATATGGATATGTTATCTCATATCCCCAAAGGTTAATAAAGCTTTTCATTTTTATTTTTTT